AGATGAATCATATTTTCTGCTCTTAGTCAACTCCTCACATAATTCAACAAATGTAGATACTAAAACTTTGTACATGAATACATCATGAACATAGTGTTGCAGCTCGAATTCCAAAGCACAAATGTCCTGACTACTAAAATTTTCGGGATAGAAATTCCTTGCAAGAGTACAAATAACATCGACATTGGATGACCCATATAAATTTTTGGGATCCAATGAAGCACTCAAAGAAAGGAGCTTTACTGATTTATCATTAAATCGGGTCTTTAACTCCATCAATACAAAGTCTATTTGCCTCATTGAAAACACCAAAGTGATAATGATGTTCAACTGTAGTTTCTTTTTGCAATGTTCAACCGTATATTCAAAATTCAACTTCGGTACATGAATTTCATGTTTTGAGCAAAACTCCTTTACTTCTTCAAGAAAGCCTTCCCATCCGTTTTTTGTCAATTCCTCTAGAATGATCGGTTGTGTAATGGAAAAATGTCTCTCATGGCTAACAAGATATCAAATAAATTTTTTTGAAGGCCTTGACAGAATTCATTATTTCCATAACCAAGCATTCCAGCCCAGCTGGTTGTGAGGTTACCGTGCCTAGTGGGAGGTCACGAGTTCGAAACCCCCCTGAAGTAAAAAAAAAAAGAGAGTAAAGGATCACAAATTCAAAACATGAAAAGTGTTTATATACACTACGAACTTATGCCCAAGAACTCACTTTTGGGCAATGTTTTTGAAGATACTCAAGCACTTTAAAAGTTGTTGTGAACATGTCAATAAAGTCCTTATATGTATATACTAAGTGTCAATTATTAAGTATGAGGGGTGATGTGTATAACATTTAGATTAGATTTTTAGATGTTAATATTTTGTATTATGGGCTAGGCTGAGAAATTGGACAGGGCTATAGAAAAATTTGGGATGGGCTGGATGCAATGTTTTAAACATAATACCTTAAAAATAATATTTTTTTTTATTTTGCTCTGGGCTTCAGCCCACCATAGCCCTAACATAGATCCTCCCCTGTGGCGAGTCACCGTTAAGTCACCCACCTCGCCCCCGTTTGTTGAACTATGAAACTAGGGTTGTATACAAACCGAATCGAGTCGAATAGTGAGATTTTGTATTTGTATTTGATTAATTTTTTCGAATACGTATCTGAATTTCAATATGAAACGAATATTGATTTTGATTTGTATTTGTTTAACAATACGAATAATTAACGAATCATATACGAATATCGAATCAATTTGAGCATAAGTTAAAGATTAGTCAAATATCACTTTAATGTAATTTTTCTTATATTTTTTATGTTATAAATGCATGCTATATGACTTAGTACGTGTTTTTAAAATTTAATTTGTAAAAGTTCATTTTTCTTTAAAATTTAATGGATTGATGCATTTTTGGGTTGTGCACAATATACTAAAGTCAATCAATTTTTTGAGATAAACACTAACACACACATATTAGAAATTATACTTATAATGTGTGAAAAAAAGTTGATAACTGTATATATCATAGTGAAACGGCTCTAATTTTATTCTTTGAATCGAATAAATAATCATTTGTATTCGTATTTGAAAGATATTTGAACCAAAAATCTGATTTGTATTCGTATTTATATTCTATATTTTCAAATTTAAATCATATTTTTTGTATCCAAATCACGAATCGAATTAAAATTATTTGCTTCTTTACAATCCTTACTCCGTATGATACTTCTCATTTATTACAAATGAGCTTGCAATTTGTATACATAAACGTATATATGGGATAGACATTGAGTGTATAGCTCTCTTAAAAGTTATTATAGTATTATTACTATTATTATTAATATTATAATATTTCCACTATTATTAATCGAATATATTTAATTAATATTCGAATTGAATACACTGATATTCTTATTTGTATTCGATAACAATTCGAATCAAATTTAGTATTTTTATTTGTATTTGTATTTGAATTTTTTGAATTCGAATAGTCTTATATATACGAATTAGAATCGCGAATCGAGCTAAAACTATTTGATTCGTTTACAATCCTATGTCAAACTCCACCTCCATACCATCGCTTGGGTGAAATGGAAGCTTTGCTTCAGTCATCTTCCCTTTTTGGTCCAATTTCAATTTCGATAGAAAGGCCAGAGTGAAAAATTTCACCCCGATTAAAAACATCTATATTCATATACATGCTTTTATCAGTTAAGTATCTTGTGGTCTAATGACATCACTGCTGATCTTTCAAAGAGGATGTCGCAAGTTCGAGTCTCATCTCAATCAAGGTATAATAGATTTAGAAGAATGTTTCAAAAGAAAAAATGCATGTTTTTATCAACTTTTGGCATTTCCTTAAATAAGTCCAACTTTAGGATAAATTTATCTCTAAATATTTTGATTAATCCAAAGATACCCTTCCCTCGAAGCATCGTAGTTTTTTTTTTGGGTGTTGCTTGGCGCACCACCAAAAGTGCTAAACGTAACTATAGTTGCTGCTCCACACGCTCAATTGCTCAACACCACAAACATTTTTTATAAATACTGGGTAATGTTTTACAAAATATGATCCCTTTACGAAAAATATTAAATAATTTTTAAATTATGTGTTATCATTAAATAAGCTTCTCCGTATGATTTACTCGTATTTGCCTTAGTCGTATTTTTTGTAGGGCTGGGACCGGTTCGGTTCTTACTCAAAATGAGTGGAACCGTTATAAAAGTTTTAACTAATGAAATCGGTTCGGTTCCTATATAAAAAATCAAGAACCGTTATGGAACCGAACCGGTAGTAAACGGTTCGGTTCTTCCTTTTACCGGTTCCTAGAATAATTTTTTCTCATCTAAGAATTAACACATAATTTACTTTCTACAAACAACATAAACATGTCGAAAATTCAAAAAACGAGTATTAGAATTTTATTTGAAACTCTAATCACTTCAAACATCAAAGATCAAACTTAACTAATGAACTGTGAACACTTAATAGAACAAAAAATGATTTAAATTTTCATGTAATAAATAAAAATATAAAAATCGTTGTAGTGTGAGAGCGATGAAGGTAACTCGTCATCATAGTAGCAAGAATAGGACGCCTACTTCAAGTCTTTCAAAACATAAAACAATACATTGAGTTCGCATGTATAGATATAAAAAACATTATTACATTCCATTGATTCATAATAAATCTAATAATTAGAAATATCATGAAAATAGTAAAGTAGAATATGTGCAATCATCAACAAGTTATTTGGGTTATTTTATATTTATAAAATTTATGTGATGGAACAAAACTTGATTTGTAGAAAGGAGTTTAATGTATTATATCAACCTCATGTACAATATTTATTATTTCGTTTTCGTTGATTAAATTAGAATTGTTATTTAAATATCTTAAATTGTTTTATTATTATTGTTGTGGTGATGGTTATTATTGCTATTGTAATATTATTATTGTTATTATTGTTATTATTATTATTGTTGTTGTTGTTGTTACTACTACTACTAATATTAATTTATTTTTTATTCTTTTTAATAACGGTTCCTTAACGGTTCCATGCACATATTTTTTATCGGAACCGGGAACCGAACCGTTATAAACCGCTTCGGTTCGGTTCCTACAAATGAGGTATTAATTGTTAACGGTTCGGTTCCTAGATGTTGTTAACGGTTCGGTTCCAATCGATTCTACGGTTCCCGGTTCCAAAATCCCACCCCTAATTTTTTGGGTCTGTTTGGTGACCCTATTTTTCGGCCTATCAAGCTTATCAATCAATTTATTTACCAACACGTAACTTTTGATTCCGTGCGATGAATTGTGTAATACTAAGAAAAAGTAAAATTGTAGTTACTTTTCTGGCAGTATTGGTTGATGTTGTAGTTGACTATTTTAGCTATTTTTCATGCAACTTTTATTTTATTTTATTAATTAAACTTATTTTAAATATAATCTTACACATATCAGCAGGATCAGTCAATCCAGCCATTTCAGCCATAATTTCATAAATTTTAGCAAAATTAGCCGATTCAGTCGATTTCAGTGTTACCAAATGGGTTCTTGATGATCTATATATCAAGAATAATTATAAAATACGATAGTAGAAAATAGATACTACCTCGTCCCATATTGTTTCGCAAAGTCAATATTTTTATCATCTAATAATAAAGTTAAATTTTTGTTATTGATAATAATTCAATTTTAATAATTAAAATTTATTTATTTTGAAACTAAATTAAAATCTCTATCAAATTGCAAAATTCAAATTAAAATTTAATTAAAGATTGATATTCTAATTAAGTGAATGACATGAATCCATGTGATACACATATATTTTACTATGATCTAAGTTGGAACATGATGTGATCTGGTGTGAGGTTAAAATACAAGTTTATTTTTATCAATTTATTTTTAGTATTTAAAAGTTAAGATAAATTAAAAATTAGTACGCTAACATCCTAATTCTAAAGTATAAAATAATTTGGACGAAACTAACTATATTAATAAGATGGGATAATTAAAATAAGAAACACAATATCAATTTGGTAGGGAAAAATATCATAAGTGGATAAAAAAAGTGGCAGCCTGGTAGTGAAATTTTTTGATGAAATTTTTTGAGCATCTTATTCATCAAGTCTAGTTTACTCATATCAAATTTTAGCTAAAAATTTAATCGGGAGCACATTCAAATTAATTCGAGAACGCAAAAATGCGCAGTTATCTTCAAGAATTATTTTGAATGTGTTCCCGATTGAATTTTTAGCTAAAATTTGGTATGAGTAAACTAGACTTGGTGAATAAGATGCTCAAAAAAATTCATCAAAAAATTCCACTGGGAACTATCCCAAATCGCGACGGTCGGACAAAATCTCCTATGGAAGGACTTAATTGACTTTTTTATGAAAGTTCGACCTACACTTTTCCCAACAAAAAATGGTAAAATTGTTTATGCGTTGAACGGTGGAAGAACGAAACAAAGAAATGGAAACAAGGATAAAGTTGTCCAATATTAGTGAAATTTCGGTGCGCGCAGCACGTTTTTTTTTTTTTACTGTACTCAAAGCACCGTAGTTGGAAAACCACCCTTCCATTTACAGGAAAATCACCCTTCCATCGTAGGATTGTAAAAACCAGCAGCCGCCGATCTACTTCGACGCGCCGCTCTGTTTCTCCGCCGTCACTCATTGAGGTTGCCGACACCGTTCTGCCCAAGTCCCTTTGTCGTTGTTCTCGGTAAAACACCCTTTTGGATTCTCGCTTAATCATAACTAGTTTTGCTTTAACATATAGATGTTGCAAGCTGATTTTCAGTGTTTCATCCAAGTTATCTCCCATTCTCCCCCGTCTGCAATTTATCTCCCTGTCCGTAGAATCTTTTTATTGGCAATCCGTTTACAGTTTCTTCACATTTTATTCTTTTGGCAGGCAAGCAATTCTATCCTGAAATATATTGCCTATTGAAGTTGCCTTTCAAAAGTAGTACCTTCCATACCCCCCTTACCCTTAAATGAAACATGGCAGCTGTTATGGCTGATTATGCAGTTTAAGAAGCTTTGATTTTCAGTGGTTTACTAGTTTTATGCTATGATTCTAATTTTGGTTTTAAGTTTCTAACTGTTCAGATGTTACTATATGTCTATATGGTTACATCTAATATGATATTTGAGTATTATTTGTATTTGTATCTATTATTCAACCGAATCCGCTATGCTTTCATTATTTACTGTGACGCTATCCGCTATATCTATGTAGCTATTTTAAGCTTTCCTCTATGATCCACTCTCAGCTATTGATTACACTATGACCAACATTAAATAATAATGAAATACACACTGTCAAATCAGACTCAACTTAAACATAACATACTCAAATTTGATCATTCAGATCAGACCAAGCTAGTAAATTTCAATGTAAATGTGCAGGTCAAAACTCCACATCATTTTCTTATCTTTTTTTGACAGAATTTCTCTGTTGTCTTGGATATGTAACAATCCCAGTGTGTTTAGCTTCTTATTTATCAAATGCTAATTTTGTTTCATAATAATATACTTAATGAATTAGGTTGACATGTATTAGCCAATAGCCATGAAGGTGCGATCATCAGTGAAAAAAATGTGTGAGTTCTGCCGTACAGTCAAACGACGTGGGCGAGTATATATCATATGCTCAGCTAGTCCTAAGCATAAGCAACGACAGGGCTTATGGACATTTGCATATGATGGATCAGTGCCTAGCACGTAAGCATTCTTGCAAACTTTCCGTGTTCTCTTTTACTGAATTCTGAATTTGTTTGATGATAATCACTTATGTATTTACTGTTTCCATGTAAAATATGTTCGTTAATATTGTAGTTACGTGCTTAGGTTTAACACCTTGCGTGCTTTCAATGATGCCGATGTATAGACAACACATTCGTGATTCGTCAGGACTCAAATCTCTCTTTGCATGTGAAGAATCGTTACTTACTCTTAGAGTATGTCACAAATTGCTGAAAAGACGTTTTAAAACTTATTAGCAACTATCAGCTGAAAAAACAAATCAAGTGCAATTAATAATCCCTGTGATGTTATTAGTTGCTTATGTGAGTTATGGCAATATTTATTCTGCAAGCACAAATTTATGCTAGTTTATATTTGTATATGTTCAATTTTGTAGCTAAAAAATGATAAATAAGCAAATACCGTAAAAGCTAAAACATTGTCTTAGAAGCTACTTAGATTAACTCATGGGAACATATTTTACAACTCTAACACAACTCCCAAAAAGTCTTTTGTCAAACATACAAATAGTGACTAATGGTGGAAAACTTAAAATTACGAACCTATGCAATCCAAATTCCGAAGAAATACCTATTACAGTTATACAGTAAAGTTCTATACCATTGCCATTAGTTTGCTCACAGATACAAGCGTTAATTATGTAATTGCTCCTTATTTTAGATTCTAGCTTTTCCCTTTAAAACAGAAAATTTCATCAAAAGGCTCTAATCATGCCTTTCAAGTAAATAAAAATGTGTTCTTCCTTCTGTAATTGTGTTTCTTGTAAAACATGAGCAAACAATAACAAACTTTTTTACTTTTGGGTTGTATCTGCCTTAGGTCTATAGTGTCAAGTACGAATCAGATGTCACCCAGCAACAGCATCACCAGTGGTCTGCCTTCCCTTATATCCAAAAATATTGAAGTATCAGTTACACCATGGTGGAGAAGGGGTCTAGCTTCTATTCTGCTCAATCAGGAGGGCGGTAAGCAGTAGGAAAGACAACACAAGAAATGTTTTCTGGTTTCTGAATGTATGTGTTTCCATTCCAATAGCTTACGGTTCATGTTGTTTTCCTTGTGAACCTGGATTATCCAGCTATTTTAGTTGGTGATTGTCGGCCGTGAGTAACTATGTTTTTATCTTCCCCATCTTTGGCGTGCTTCTGGACATGCTCAAAAACTCTTTTAGTGGGTCATAAACAACATTTGTGCAAATGTCAAATGTGTTGAGCATAATTGGGCTTCCATTTTCCCGCTTTTAGTAGATGGTACATGAAAATCTGATCTTACTGTTTTAAGTTTTACTGTGTAATATTGGGATGCTTTGTTTAAGGTAATGTTGACAACCATCAAACACATACGAGATCCAAATTGTTTCCATGTGAAACTTATGTTATTTTAGAATTGAATAAGAAGCTAACTTGATTGCATGCATGTTTTAAAGCATATTGCAAGTGTAGCCTAGTTTTAAAGAGAGGAAAATAGTCTATTAGATTATTGATGGTATTCGACCAAGTTGGCAGCAATCATGTTGAAATGTCTATATGATGAGTGTTTGTAGAAACAAACACAAGATGGCTTGTTCAGCCTGTCCAAAAAACAAATGGTTTGGACAAAAACAATTAGGGAAAATTCTTGAAATAGGAGTAAAACGTTTTGAAATTCCAAAATAGGACCGTCATGTTTGTATTATCTAAATAGGAGTAATTACTGTCATGCTTAAAGTATGGTAATGTCAAAACATGACAGTAATTACTCCTATTTACGAAATATAAATATGATAGTTCTATTTTGGAATTACAAACCTTTTTAATCCTACTTTTCAGCAATTTCTTAAATTTTTACCCCAAGGTTGGGCCTGCTCTGCAAATATATGAGGGGCTTGTGCGAAGATGCAGTCCCATTTGGTCTAAATCGAATGAGATGTTTTAGATAGCCCTCCTTGAGAAAATTTACAAAAAGATGGTTCATTAGAAGCAGATTATGAAGGGCACTCACAGATCTTTTAATTTCCAGCCAAAGTTTCTTTGGTGTCATTACCATTTTCCTTGTTTTGAAGCATTCTGTCACAAACAGCACTAACACGCTAACATGTTGATTTTATACAATGTAGTGATGCACCTACCTTTCAACAATTTACCTACACTAGCTCTATGGAGTTGTTTTAAACTGGTTGTCGGACAGTATATTAGAACCTAATGCCAGCTGGGCACTTGGTTTAAAAAAGCGCGCCTGAGGCGCAAAAAGGCGAGAGGCGCCTCTGGGCGATAACTTCATCGCATCCAAACATCCCAGGCGGAGCAGAGTCCATAAGGCGCGCCTTTTACCTCGCCTAGTGCCGCTTTTTGCGCCTCTTTGAGGCGTCGCCTTTCACGCCTTATGGAATATCTTCCGTTCTCTTTGTTTTTTTTGTTCAGCTGCGTACGTTTCTTCCTTACGTTCTCTTTGTTGTCTTTCTTCATCTAATCTTTGTATTCTTTATATTTTTATTTTTTAAATAAATAAAATAATTCAAAATATGTAAATATATAACCATATAACAATCTTCCCTAATCCCAATCGGAATTTTATCAATTTTAAAAAATAATAAATATAGTTTGTCAAATCTTTGAATCTGATTGTTTAACTTTATACTCTTGATACTTTATAAGTTTATTATATACGGAGTAACAATTAGTCAATTATATATGACAGCTTGTTGTTATTAATAATCTTTAGATAAAAGTTTATTTAAAAATTTACTATTAATTGCTTAGGATTAATAATAAGTATTAACAGTTTATTGTAATTAAATTTACTATTAGTAGAAGTATTTTTTAGGAGAGTGCTTCATGTAGAAGTTGTATAAATATATTTTACCAAAGATATGTGGTTTAGTTCAGTGAGGCGCGCGCCTCGTCGCCTCGCGCCTCGTCGCCTCGCGCCTCGGGTAAATTGATGAATCGCCTCATGCCGCCTCGTGCCTTTTAAAACTAAGGCTGGGCATAACCTGAAGTGTTGGGTTCAAAAGCATAGGCAGTGAAGGAGGATCATGTGTTGAATCAGTAGTGTGAATTGTTGGAACAATAGAAAATAGTCATATAAATAATGTCTAGAATTTCGAGTTATCTTCATTATTAGGAAGGTCATTGAAGACCATCTAGCACAAGAACAACTGAACAAGTTCAAGCTTACTGAAGAAGTCTTAAATTGCAGAAGAAGCAAAGTGATTTTTTAAAAAGGGAGCATCTCTTATAAATGTCCAGAGCTGCCTGCCAATCAGTAGAATGGCATGTCGAATGAAGAATGTAATTTTAACTCTTAATGATACAATGAACTAAAAAGTAATTATACTTATCCTAATTGGGCTACTTCTGAATACTCCAAACAAAATCTGAATACAATGAGTTGTTTTTACAATCTTGAGTTTAGCTTTAAAAAATACAGAAGATGGATTTCAAACAAGCTTTTGAATGGTTATCTCACATCATTTACATGGTAGTCGGATACTCATCCACCAATTTGGTTCATAGAAACACACAATAGATGTCCACCTCACACTGATAACACAATGGATGAAACCTTACAACAGTATATCTGAATCACAAAAAAAACTCAGCTCTTTAAGTAGTGAGAATTGGGGGAAGATAGTCGGATTTGGTTCCGAGTACTCGTGCTTTAGTATCCGGGAAATTTTCAAATCCTGGAAGCTCAGTTACTTCTCCATTTTCAGCGACTCCAATTGGATAACTAAGCAGATGGCCAGGCAGGTCATGTTCCAACGTCTCGGCAGAGTATAGGTTCCAGTTGTTTTGGGCCAGTTGGTTTACCTTGCTAACACACTCAACGCTCTCGGGATGCTCAAATTTGTTGTCCAACATGCCTAAATGCTCGTACCACAATGCCATTCGGAACCCATGAACCTGACCACGTGCTGGCTGCCTCACAGATAGATGGTGTGGCTGGTAGGCTCCCATCGCTATTTCTGAATCACGTGCCCCATCCATCGATCTCTGGTTTATGTTGGCTGATCCCAGGATTATGTATTCATCATCCACTGCAACAAAAACGACAAGTATTTCGAGTGAATAGATATCACGGAGTTTATCCTATTCTATTATTTAAACAGAACTTTTGGATAAAAACATCACTATGCACTACATACATAGTTATCATATCACTACAAAAACATCTATCATGGTCTTCACCTTGAAAATACCAAGCACTGCCTATTAAAAGTCATATTGTTTGTGCAACTTTTTTTAACTAAAATATATGAAATGACATATATCGTCTCTCTTATTAGTATCTGAGTGTTTGAGCTTTTATTTGGACTGTGAATTGATATTTTACCTATCATCATCTTAGCATGAACATATATCATGAATCTTCTTGCTTCCTGAGCTCTGCTATAGTCTGTGTTATTGTCTGGTTTCTCGGAAGGCTCATAGTCGTCTCCTCTCTTTGTTTCCCTATTGCCAAGGCAGAAGAAACTCAAGTAGTCCTTGGGGTCCGCGATGATGCCTTTGGCTTTGAGCGCTTGAACAATATCAGTGTACATCATTTGCATAGTCCTCCTCTGCCAATCAAGAATCGCCTGCACCGAACCGCTCTCTGGATATCCCTCTGGCCACATCGGGACCACAATGTACACTGTAAACCTTTCTCCTGCTTCAATCTTACTCACAATCTTCAATGACAGTTCTTTCGGAATGAGGTGCAAAGCGTTGATTGCCTCATCCTTGACATCGTCAGAGTACCAAGAATAAGAGCTTCCTAGGAAGTACTGGTTCTCTATGTAAATGAAACTTTTCGCACGGCGAATGGCATTGATGTATGCATCTTGAATGCTTCTGTCGATTATGTTGTCCTTCCCGCTAATAAGGCCAGATTTGGCCGCGTCCTCGGGTGCATCGGGGAAACCAAAAGCGGCCCCTCCATCGATTGATCTAAAGACCTGAACATTCCACGTTTCCTGATCGTCTGGGAACGTCACGGGCGAAGGTGGGATGATGACTCCCTCAAGATCTCTCAAGTCAACGAGCAAACCTTGAGTGCCTTGTTTCCTCCATCTTTGCTCGAAGTTGAAGAGCACGTCCCAAGCCGCTGGCCCCTCTAAGCGCGAATGAATGTCATGCCAAGGTTCTCTTGGCCCGCCCTTCTTAATCGATGCACCTTCAAAGTTCGGCTGATGGAAATCATCGTGGTGGGCCGTGTTGAGTGTCCGGAAAAGTGGGTGAAGCGGAGAATCGTATCGCCCGTCACAAAGATCAATCCCACCGATGAAACTCACGATCCTTCTCCTCTCATCATTTCCATTTGGCATTTCCCTGTCGACTACCAGAATCTTTTGGTGGTGAGTGAACATGGTTCCAATTTCTATGTCCTGAATTATACTCCTTCCATCATCGGGGTTCCTAGGACACAGCACACAATGCACTTCACTGTCCTTAAAATAATTCCCAGTTTCTTCATCATGAGTAGCCATTAGTCCATCTTTTTTGAGCAACCCAACCGAAGTCCGGTCATCCCAAACAAGCATGAGAACTCGAACCCCTTCGTCCGCTTTTTTCTTTAGCAGCTCACCGAGAGTGACGTCACCGCCTGGTCTAGGCCTCCTCGGGTCCCTCACCAATGTGATCTCAGTATACACAGACCATCCTGTTATATATATCAAATGCCTGGCATTGGTAATCGCATCGAATATGTCCTCCCAACAGCGATGTGGCTCGTATAACTTTCCTCCGGAAAGCGGAATTCTCGGTATGAAATTATCTGGAACATGAGCATCTTGGTATAGAGTGACCATGCAGCCTTGTCGCTGGGGAAGAAACGTGTACGGAACACCAGGAAAACGTCCTGCTTTCAGTCCACGCCCCCAGCAGCGTTCTCTTTGGACGTCAAAGAACTGGAGCTTCACATGGATCTTGGAATGTCCACGTATGGGATTACGGCTGGTGTCCAACAGAGGGAGCCACTCGTCGACTTCTTCCCCATCTATGAGCCTTTTAACAGGCATGTATGCTCTCCCGACCAGCTCTGCTCCAATGGGGTTGTCCACTTTGACGGAGAAGACAACATTGGAAGCCATATGAGCACAGTATATGTGGAAAGACTCATACCATCTGGGATTTTTGTGCTCATCCAGAAGCCTGGTTCGACCAACCCTTGCCTTTTCCAGATCAATGGTTGCATATAGTCTGGAACCTGTCTTGTTAAAGCCCACAACATGTTCAACGCCTTCCACTACCTGCAAAATAAAAATTATTATTAAGAAGCATGAATGGCTGAACCAGTATTTACCAGTGCAATAATAAGTTTAGCTATAGACTTTGGTTCACTCGATTCTCAAACATATATTAACATGTTAATTCTTTCAGCGTTTAATCAATAGTTTTTACACGTTAAATATGGTAACAAACCATTAGTTAACAGGTCAAAATATATTGGCCAAG